ATTATCTACCCCCATATTTAGGGTAGACATTGAGAGTTAAAGCTATGACTTACTGTTTACATTAATATGACTTTGTGCTAGTCCTTGGTCTTCATTAGCATAACTTTACTATTCAGACAAATGGTTTGAATGTTCATTAAAGAAATTTCCCAAAAGGCTCATCAACTCTTCAATGAAAAACATCAACAGATTGTTTAAGCCCTAAGATTTTTTAAATTCCTTTTCTCTAAATCCTCACCTTACCTTTTCCACCAGTTCTGAACTATTGTATTGTAATTTTTACACAACCTTAATCAAACCCCAGAGTCGCCCTTTCAATCCCCCTCAAAAGACCTGGCTTAAATCAAACTTCCAATTCTCAAAACCTCCTGACCTTACCTACCTTCTTTCAGACACTGCCAAAGCAGTACTAGGTGGTTTCCTCTTGTCGAAAGCAATAAACAGCTTTGCATATCACCAGTTTGTGTTGGTGATATTTGGGGAGCCAACTTTCCTCGCTCAACTTTCCTACTGCAGATCACAGTAATCACTCTTAAAAAATAAAATTCAATTGAGTAAATTTGAATATTATTAAATAATTCATGAATAGGGCAGGATCCCATCTAGTTGTACAAAATGGTAAGTTTTTATAGGAAGATGGTGGGACAAAAGAAAAGTATTATTTTATTTTTTTAAAGGGGACAGAATGGCAAAGGTTTTTATGATGCAGGTTGCCTCTTCATACTATGGGGTGGGTGGATGGAGAGGGACTATGTGACAGGTCATCTTCCTGGTCTTTGACCAGAAAATTCCAGACCGATTGGTTAAGATTACATTTCTGGGACAGATTGAAACTGCAATTAGATCAGATATTAAATCTAGGTTTTGTATCCTGGGCTTTAGTATAAGTGGCATCATTTTAGTTTTCTCTTTAACAAAACAATCAAGGGATGCCATCTTTGCTCCCAGTGTTTCCCTTTTCCCCAGGGCCACCCTGTGCTCTTAGGCCTCCTGATAGCATACATCAGCCCATACACATTACTGCCTGCCTACTATTTGCTTGGCATAGTTGCAGTTTGTTCAATGCTCTTTTGGTGATTGCAAAAGAGGTCCACATCGCGCCTGGAGGCAAGGAGGCAATGACCAGCAGAAGCAAGCAGTTTGGTTCACAGGGTTCTTATCTGGTTGGATACTTCTGGGATTTGTGGTGCATCCGGATAGGTCAATTATTGTTGGGGAAATACAGTTACTAACAATTTTTTTCCAACATAGAAAACATCTCCACAAAGGTAGTAGAGAAAGGAAATCGTTTTATAATTGAATAAAGTTTAAACCAGAAAGTGATACTCATCGCAAGCAATCTGCTAAGAGATTGCAAAGACAGACGGGAACCTCACCCCTTATATAGCTAAGCAGATACATTTCATTATATATGTGTTCTCAAGATAAACAATAACTCATCCTGAAGTAAGAAGACTTGACAGACCCTTGGTCACGCATAGTTTTCTCTTAACTTTATAATTGTGATGATCATCTGTATTAGCTAATTGGCTTTATCCAGAGGAAAAATACTTCTCACATTATTATGACGAGGGGTAGTTTTACAACTTGGAGCAAGGTACCCATCAATGTTCGGCTCCTAGCCCCCCACAGAAATAGGGATGCTGTCTCCTTTGGTGTCTGCATTTCAAAGAGTGGCTCTCAGGTCCTTGAAAGACATTCCTGGGTCATAAAACTGACAAAAGGCCTGTCTAGTTTTCAAAAAGATTTATATAGGTTTCAAAGTGAGGAGAAAGTACCTACAATTTTACGTTTCCTAAAGTCAGTCCTCTAAGGAAAAAAGGTGGGGAAACTCTTTAAAAAAAGGGAGAATGAAGCCTCTTATTTTAAAATTTTCTTTATCTTGACATCATGCGGTGATCTGGCTTAAATGACCAATTGTGACACGATGATTATTTCATCTGTGGGGGGAAAAACTTCAATAGAAAGCCAGGCACTTTCTAGAGCCCATTTTTTTGAGCCGTCTAATCTCAGATTTACACCGTCTTTGTGATATTTTGCCACTCTATAAGTTGTAGATAACTGACAGCAATGCAAAATAATCCCTGTGTATAGATGTGTGATTCTGACTTGTCCAATAGAGGTTCAATTGACGCCTCCCCTCTACTGTGGAAAAGTCCAGTTTTGCCTCCATATGCACATTCATTTTAATTTTCCTGATCTTTAGATATGTTTCTTCTTTGGCTTCTCATTTGAATCAGATTCCCATCTTACTAGTTTCCTTATTAAGTCATGAATTGGGTAAAATCATTAACATGTGTTTATTTTATATCTATATGAGTCTGGATTTTACCTTTTTTTGGAAATTACCCTTTAACATCTGGCACAAATCCAGTTTTGTCAGCATTCTCAAGTTCCATTCTCAGCTCTAAATCTGACTGTATGGCTTTGGAGAGATCTATGTGTTAACAACTTATTAACTTTTTAGGTGCTAATTAAGACAAATAGTAGAAATGGAAACTGATCCAGAACACAGCCTGGTCAGATGTCTCTGACAGCTCCATAGATAACCACTGCATAACCTGGTTTACCCAGTCTGGAGTATGGAAGATGTTTTGTTCACCTGTTTTCCATCAGTGGTTCTCTGTGTCCTTTATATTTGATGGTCAGCCTTTTATTTGTCTAATGCACTTTATTCTAATATTCAGGGGGAAGGTGATATTTGCTCTTCTTCTTGCTCTATAGTGTTATGGGTTGTTTGCTTTTTATTGTTCTCAAAATGGCATCAGGATTTACGATCTGATTCTTCTGGTTCAGTGAACCCCATATCTCCTGTCATTGGCAGTGCTCCAATGCCTAGATCTTCTGAGGGAGCCAAATACTAATGACAATAATAATCTGCCCAGGCATTATAAGATGCTGTACATGACTTGGGAAGTTGTTGTTGTTGTTGTTGTTGTTGTTGTTGTTGTTGTTTGATATCTTCAGAGGACAGGCATTCGATATGAAGCATGAGATGTGATGAACTCACCAGTGTAATAATTAAGAATGAATTTTCTGTTATTTTCTGTAGGCTCCCTAATTATTGGAGCTCTGGTATTACACTTGTATTTGACTCCTAGCTTGTCACTTAACTAGCTGCATTTCCTAAGGCAAAAGTAGTTAATCTCTCTAAGCATCAGTTCGCCCTTTTTTAAAAATGGGGATAGAGATAGTATTTACCCCCCAAAACCTTTGCCGATGCTTTCTGTCTGTATGCACTGCTCTTCCCTCCGCCAGCTGCTCAAGGAAGTCAGCTCAAATGACACTTTCTTAGGGAGGGTTTCCCTTGTTTCCCTTCCAGTTATACCCTCTCAGAGCATCTTAATTTATTTATGTTTTTAATCAGTCTGTTCATAGTTTATAATTATATATGGATGAGTACGTTTATTAAAATTTTCCTTTTCTTCTAGGGTATATGGTCCATGAGGGTCTAGGTGGGGAAGGATTTTACCACTCTGTGCCTAGTACCTCATACTGTGCCAGGCAAGTAGTCTGTGCTCAATAACTACTTGTTGAATGAGTAAATGAAATATTTAAAACAGCATCCAAAACAGAAAAACACTTAATAAATGTTAGTTGTTATTGTTGCTGCATTCAAAGGAAGAAATTCAGGACATTTAAAAGGCAGTAGACAGAAAATAACCCCTTCTAGATATTCAGATAAACTAGGAATATCTTTTAGCATAATCTTATTCAACATGATATGTATCCTCTATTGCTCGCTATTTATTTAAAAAGTACATCCTATCCCAGAAAACTCTGAAATGCTATTAACATTCTGCCTTGGCCTTTCATACTATATTCTATATACTGAGCATCTCGTGTGCTGATGATCATCAAATTAATTTTTATCAAAAACTGCAAAGGCAATTGAAATGATTTCTTGACCGAGATTTGCAAAGCTCTGTGCCAGGGCGCTACTAATTCTGTAAATACTACTAGTGAAATTAAAAAAAAAAAGATGATTTAAAATGATTCTGTCTTCTCCTCTGTTGCATGCATCCCAGATTATTATCATATGATGAGACAAGCCATATAGTGAGAACAGAAACACTGGGAGACCATAGCGGAGTCTTTTGTTTTTTGAGATCATCATTTTGAGAGAGTTAATTCACTGAAACTACATTTTGTCAATGTTCTTTGGGAGGCAATAAAATGGGACATTTTATCCCTTCTAAATTCAAATTTAGTCTGCTCAAAAGGCAAGTTTTAAATTAAAGCTGTGGTTTTCCTTTTGGCTCCATACTGGGGGTTTCTGAAGCACTGCCACTGATCCACCACCCATGTGTGCAGACGGTGTCATTAATTAACGCTGGCTGGAGCTCTGAGGGTGTAAAAGGTTCAGTCTGCAGGTGGAAGATCAGCACTGCAACACGGAGCCTCCAAATGCGGCTCTCTCATCCAGGAGGGCACAGACAAAGCCTCGAAGCCTGCCGGCATCTTCAAAGACCTTCCTAAATGGTGCTTTCTCTTGACTTTGCCCGCTCAACATGAAGCTTTCAATCCATTACTGTGTCTGAGAGGCTCCATATTAGAAGGGAAAAGAGTCAGTTTAGAGGTCATTTATTTCAACTCCTTCATTTTGTAGAAATGGAAGGAGTGGCTCGGAGGGGTTAAACACTCTGTCAGAGTCATCCCACTGGCAAGACAATCTAAATTTTCTAGTTCCTAGGTTAAACTTCCTAGTCCATAAGATTGCCTTTGCAAATGAAGACAAAAGGGTTGTCTTTTTCTTTTCTTTTTAAAAATCTCTTTTTCTTATTCTTTTTAAAAATCTCTTTTTCTTATTTTTTTCTTGGAGTTTGGAACCTGCAGAGAGGCATGTCTGTGGTTTACAACCCTTCGCAGTTGTTAATTGTACTTGGCAAGTCAGCCTGTTCCCAAAACAGCTCAACAAAGGTTCTTGCAAGAGGACTGAGGTCCTTGTGGCCAATAAACTAGGTAAAACACACACACACACACACACACACACACAACGATTACTGTTTAAAAAATTTTTTTTTTTTAAAATCAGAATCTGCCCATATTCACACGCTGGTGACTTTGATCCTCTTCAAAAGCTTTAATGAAAACTGCCAGAGTATTTAGTTAAGTATTCATATCATTAATACCATTTAAATGTGGAAGTTTAGTAGAATTATCCAGAGTTTCCAAGAAAGGGCTTACCAAGCTTCACTTCTTAGTGAGCATTTTTTTTTTTCAGAAATTGTAATTATTATTCTTTCCTTACTACCATAATTTCACATTGGATTCCGTTTTTCTGCTGTTATACGTAGTGCTGTGAATGGAATAGCTTCTATGTCAGATGGGCTGCCTGCCTTAGGTAAAGCCCTCCAATGTCCTTTTTCAAATCACCTATATCTTAGCCTTTTGAGGCAGAAAGAAAGTCTTCTGTGTTCTTGCAAAACATCATGTGCACAGCATGTAGAATCTTGGGTTATTTCTAACACACCAGAAATATATTGGAGCATTAATGAACCCCCTTTCCATGAATTTCTGAAATAGGCTAAGGGGTTAGTTTTCTTTCCTCAGAAAATTTCTCAGAGGCAGCTAAGCTGGTAGATAATCCTCCAGGTAAATTGGGAGACCAACACACTGAATCCCGAGAGGTGAACATCCTCACTGATCCTTTACGTTTGAAATTATGTTCACCTTCTTTTCTCAGATCCTTTGGTACTCAGGTACGTCTCATGTGGTAAGACATTTCAATGTGTGAAAGGAACTCTAACAGTTTTACTTTTCAAAACCAGTCTTAGATCAAATAAGGGCTGCATGTCCCTTAACATTTAAAATTCTCGTCCACAGCAATATTCTGAAAGTCCAGATGAAGGAAAGACATTCTACTGCCTAAGCCTGAAAAACACCAAATAAACACGGCTGCTCTGGAAACATAGATTGTTATTATTTTTTGCCTGTGTTCATATCCATGGTAATAAAAGGTGCTAACCATCTATTTCTTCATTCTGGTTTGTTAATATTTATCTTCTAAACTGCCATTGAGAATTTCTAAATGTGAATATGAGGATGCTGCTATCTTTTCTATTCTTTATATGTCTCTTCTCGCATCATTTTGGGGCCTCCCTTTCTGGCCACCTGAGTCCCAGGACTTCAGGATATGTCCGACTATTGCCAAAATGCAAGGTCCGGCAGCTACCCACGTGCCACATGCCTCCCATCAGATGAGCAAGATGTACACATTGGTCAAGCAAATGACCCACTATGTTTCTTGGGGAGGCCAAATTCTGTCCTTTCCATTTTCAGTCTCTGCATTCACTCAATCCACATTAGTCTTTGGCTAAGACAATAATAGAGTCTCATTTTTAAGTCTTAGTTTTCGTCTTTCAACCTCATCTCTTGTCTCTTGCCAATCTTCTCATCACTTTTAGATGCATATTTTTCAAAAATAACTTGGATCAGACTAGTATGCTGCTAAAAACATTTTGATATTTTAATGATGCAAACATCCAAACTCCTCAGTATGGCCTATAACACTCACAGGTCTGTTCTCTTTCTACTTCACCGTCAGTAAATTCTTTTTCTTCCATACCCACTTCACTTCAGTTTCTTCTTTCCAATCTCTGAGCACAGAAAGCTCTTTAGGTCTCGAGGCTGGCTAGACGCACTCTCCCACAGCTCTTCACAGGTCGGATTCTTGTTATCCTTCATGTTTCTTCTGCAACATCCTTTCCTCAGAGAGAAGTGATGGCAGAGATGGCCACATCCCCAACAACGTTCGTGTTCCCTTTCCATAGCGTATAGTTGTCTCTGAGAAGTGGCTGAGCCAGGGACCACATTTCCCAGTTCCTCTTGCATCTGGATGGAGTCTTGTGAATAGTTTTCACCAGTGGAATGTGTGCAGAAGTGATGTGGCCATTTCTGTGCTGCAGGGTTTAAAAAGTGGCCTTGGCTTTTTTCTCCTCTCTGTTTCGGTCCATTGGCTGAAACAAAAGGAAGGACTCTGAGTTTCTAGGAGTTGATAGAGACAGAAGGGGAAGAGAGGAGCTTGGGTCACTGAATCGCTATGTGGAAGGCTGCCTACTAAACAACTGATTGGATTATATGTGAGTGAGAAAGAAAAATCTTTTCTGTTAAACCACTGACATTTTGCAGCTTATCTGTTACAGCAGCTTCTAGCATTACCTTAAACTAGACCAGAGGCCTTCTCTAAACACTACGGTAGGATATCTATACTCTCCAATTCGGGAAAATTTCTTGGGGTATTCTGGAACTGACCTCCAAAGAAGGATGGGGCCCAGAAACCAAAGAAAGAGGCTGACAAGTCCAGAATTAAACAGAGTTCATTAAGGAAACTTAAGGACAGAAGCAGAGTCTTGGGCAACAGCAAGATGGTAGATCTCTGTACCTGAAAGGGGAGGGGGCTTGATATGTACATACAGCCTCCGGGAACACAGGTGGCTTATAGACAAGTGGCACATGCTTGTTAAGAGCCATATAATCCAAAGCAGTAAACAACTTAATGGACCTACTTATCTAGGTAAGAACATTCCTTTCAGGTGTTATGGGCCCACCCCTCCCTAGCAGTCACTGAGAATAACTTGCTTCTTAAATGGCATTGGTCATATCAAGCACTAGAAACCTTTTTGCTTAACATCCCCCACCCCTCATTGTTCTCTATCACTGCACTTTATGCATTTTTTCATAGTGCATATGACAAGTTATACTTATGTGTTTATGTTAATTTTCCTCTTTTGTACCCTCCACTAGGCTATATATTTCATGCGAGTAGGAAAAGTATCTATACCCAGTGTCTAATACAGCACCTGAAACATTCATAGGTACTTAATAAATATCTGTAGAACAAATTCATAAGTAAGAGGATAGAAGAAAAAGTGACAGTGATAGTGAACCTAAAAAAGGTACAAAAAGAAACGGTATCACCAATGGGGCCCAAGAGTGGAAGCTTGAGGAGTTAAGTGTAAGCTTGGAGGTGAAGATGATCTACTCATCAGTTTGCATACCACTAAAAATGATGTTAACAGTTAGAGCGACTAATCTTGTAACAGTAGAAGTGTTTACAAAGAATGCAGAAGCAGCTAAAAATAATAATGATACTCTTTGCTTGCATAGTTTTTTACTGCTTATAAAAGAACTTAGAGAAATGCTACTTCCTTGGAAAGCGAACTAATATTTGTTAAATTAGATGCCAGAATGGTAAATAAAAGTACTCACATATTTTTAAGTGTATTCTCTTAGGATATATGAAAATTGGTCTAATATCTATATGGTAGGTTCAGATATCTTAGTGTTTTAGGGCTACCATAATAAAATAGGGTCATAACTTGTTTTATTGCACTTCGCTTTATTGCACTTTATAGGTGTTGCATATTTAAAACTTGTAAGCAAAACCCTCTACAGCAAAAAAAGATTAAGATTTGCTTTAATGTGATGCTCACTTTATTGTGAGTATTATGTTGTCTGGAAACTAACCTGCAACATCTCCAAGATGTGCCTGTATCACAGACTGTGAGGCTTAAACAAAAATTTATTTTCTTACAGTTTTGGAGGATGAGAGTCCCAGATCAAAGTGTTGATATACTGGTGTCTCCTGAGGCCTCTCTTCTTGGCTGGCAGATGACTGCCTTCTCACTGTGTCCTCACATGGCATTTTCTCTGTGTGTACGCAGCCCTGGTGTCCCTTCCTTTTCTTATAAGGATACCATTCACATTGAATTAGGGCCTCAACTTTATGACCTTACTTAACCGTACTTTTTAAAGGCCCTATTTCCAAACACAGTCACACCGGGCATTAAGGCTTTAACATATGAATTTGGGGGAGGCATAATTCAATCAATAACAGGAGAGAAACTCCCCAAAAGAGAAAAGTTAACTCTAAAGATTTTAGAGTTTGTGCCATCTCCAGAAAATCTACGCCGGATTTACCTTAAAATTTTGAGTCTCATCTTTAAAAAACAATGTCAATATATTTTGGTGAGCCCCCTAAATTTCCTATTAAGGCCATGGGTGCTGTATAAAAAGAGTCTATACATGCTATTTGGTATCTAGAGATTTATCTAGGCTCTACCTCCAATAACATCCTGAGTACCTTCTTCTTCTTGTTCCATGTCCCTGTTGCCTTATTGCTGGATCCTAGCTCTCTGCTCAGCCTTTTTGCATTCATCCGTCAGGTAGACTCCTTGCTTGGCTTTTAAATTTGCCCTGAACATAGCTCTAAGTTTCTCACCCTGCAATCTCAGGCCATTGAAATGTGTTCACATCAGCCGGATCTTACAACTTTGGCTCTGGCTTATCTGGAAGAGAGATTGGATCTCACTTTTTCGTGGAGAGTAAAATCCAGCTATTTTGTACTTACTATAGGAGAAACCAATTTGAATTAGATTAGTGAAAGACTATAATTATAGATCATTCATAAAAAAACCCCTGTCTTATTAATTCGAGGCTTGCATAGTGAACGGCAAAATCAGTGCATGGTCTATGCCATTTCTAAGCAGAGTGCTGTCAAGAACTCAAAATGTTGGGTTTGTGTTGTTCAGTAACAGCATGGAAAGTTAGTCGTACTCAAAGAGTAGTTACATAAGTGTTTTCTGATTCTTGAAAGTAAAACAAAGTTTTGGCAAATTATGAAATGCAATGATAACCTTGAGGAAACGAAAAAATTATAAATTTTTATGCAATAAACAGTATAGTTTGTCAATTCCATGCCTCTCTCAACTTATTACTTATATATTGCTGAATAAATAGAAGCCTTACCTGTTTCTTATGGGAAGGATATGCAGACGTTGCTTCTAGCTATAGGACATAGAAAACTTGTTGTTTGAAACATTCATTGAAGTTTTGTAGAAGCAGATGGTTAGAAATGTGCTATATTTGAACTTTAGAATTGCTTTGAAGAAACATACTTGTCTCAAGTGTCTGAAGAACAGAGATCTGCCTTAAGAAAATCGGGAGGAATGTGACAATTTGAAGTTCAAGAATTCTGGACAGATGAGAAATCAACCAAAATCTAGTTACTATTTAACAAATAAGTTAAACCACTGTGGCCGCCTCTTTAGACAAGCTTCGTAAATTTCAGAGATATTAAACTCAAGATCCTAAATGCCCAAGGTGAAGAGAGTAAAATAACTAATACGATTATAAGGTCTCACAGGAAGCTAAGTATATTATTAACATTTATAAGAAAATTTCCAAACTAATGACCTGGAGAAAATAATATTTGGGTTTAATGATTTTAACAAAAGACATATCTCTAATAATGAGTAAATAATGTCCATTTGATTTTCTCTTGTGGTGGGGCTGGGCTATGGTGAAGATTTGTAAAGTAGTTAACATCTTTTATAACCTTGGAAAAGCACTGCGTGAAGTAGTCTCATTATATCAGGCTTCAATTTCCTCGACTTCACAAAATCAAATTCTGAAATTCAGCCGTGTTAGAACAAATGTATTATTGTGATCTGTGACTCATGAATCAGAATTTTTGAGAGAACTAAAAAGAGAAAAATCATTTAACCAACTATATTTTTGAACACAAGATGTAACTAGTTTTATTCTTCTCTCTATACCTCACCAATTAAATAAATTAAATTCAACTCTTTTTTTTTTTTCTGTTGATAATGTTATTTGGACTTGATTATCTGCTCCTTGGGCATTGTGTGTGACATGCATGAGCCAAAACCAAATTACGAATTCTATTTAGTTTAATTTGATGTAGTTTCTCTCCAGATGAAAGTTTATCTTGATCTCTTTTCTAGTTGATACTGGTGATTTCTCGTCTTTGAACTCAATTATACTGTAAAAACTGAACTTTTAGTAAATGAAACCACAGAGACCTAGAAATTTCAATGAGTTCATCAGTCCAGATGCTAGTGTATCTGGCTTATTGAACAGTCTGAACTTGGTGGTGATACAGAAACATGAAAATACTTTTTCTCCATCCATTGCTTTTAATTATGCTCTGTTACATCTCTTTTTCTTGCCTCTTAACTACCTCTTGAGCAGTTGTAGATGGTAAAACTCAGTTGAGTCCAACTCTAATATCATCTCCAACCTAATTTCCACAGATGCCTATCCTATGGCTGGATGGATTGTAGTGGGAAGGTGGTGTGGTCAGCTTCTACACTTCTCTTGGCTACTCTGGGTTGGAGTGATGGGGAAGAAACAGAGTAAAAGGTCAGAGGCCTTTGTACCTACTGGCTTGACACTGTAATCCTTTCTTATGCACTGCATCTTCCCCAGCCAACAATAATGGATGGGTGATTTCTCTGTGTAAGCAAGGATGTGCTGTTTTTTTTTCCTGGGACCTATGTACGAATTTTTCTGAGGTCCCTGCAAGAAGGCCTCCAAAGTACACAGTTGCCTCCATAGGAGTTGTGATTCTGGCTTCTGCTTTTCTACCCCACTTCTCTCTTCCTGTCTCCCAGCTATCTCCCCACAGTTTCTAGAATCTACTTGAATAATAAGAAGGCAGCTCTGGCCCAGCTACTTTGCATACATGCCCACCTGACCCGATGGAAATGACATATCTTTGGCATAACAAAGAGTGGGACTTAGACTTTCCTCCTATTGCTCCCATTTTGCCCTGTCACTTCTCATTGATTCTTACTTCCTCTAGCTCAAATAGGCATAGGAGGTCTTATCAACAAGTCTGCTTCAAAAGCTGACTTTATAATGAGCTGCGTCTCTCCTTCCTGCAGGCCTTGCATCTTGGTGAGTGATGCTTTCCTTGGTAGCTTGGGGAGGTGGATCTTCCTCTCACAATTCAATGTGATGAAGAGGAAAAGCTGAAGTTCTCCACTTGAGAGGGACTGCTCCCAACTCTTATAATTGTTTTGGATCTCAACCTAGTCATTTGTTAATAGACACGGGCAGTGAGTATGGCAGGTGGAGCATAGATGAGTCAGTCAGTATAGCTACCTCTTGGTCTGCCTGAGGATGTGTCCAGTCCAGTGATTTTCCTTTTCTATATAAATGGTAGGGCCCTTACCTGTCCTTGCCCCCACTTACCCACTCATTATATTAGGAAATGGCCAGCATGTGTAGAATAGTCCAGAGCAGCATGGGCCTTAAATTAGAATCTATACAGAACCGTGTGAGAAGATGTTGGCAGGAAAAGAGTCCTGGAGCCACAGTCCTGTAGACAACACTCCTCCAGCCACTCCTGGCTCAGCGGTCAGCAGTGTATCTCCAATGAGGGACTGACAGCAAGCACCAGAACCCACCGTAGGAACACTTCTTGATGTTTGCTTCTAGTTATCTACTACTTATGATTTGGTGATTATAAATTGTCCTATTAGCTCATGCTATATGAAATTGCCACATTTTTTTTTTCTAAATCAAAATGGCTAAATATTGGCCATTTCAGAGCATTAAACCTAATTAAAATGTGAATTTAGTCATTTTCAACCAATGCTGTTATTTTGTTTGAGTTCAGAGCTGAAAACCCCCTCTGAGGGGTTTTGGAGAGGAGAAAAATTGGGAATTTTCACCTAAACTCCTTAACTTCCGCTTTAGTTTAATGATAGGCAAACTGATGAGCTTTTCTTGCTTCTTGAAGAGAACGTAAACAGGGATGAAAAAGCAAACTGTAACAAAAAGAATTTTTTTCTTTAAATTTGGAATAGAATTTATCCACTTGAGTAATGGTTTTGGTACATATTTAAAAATATTTTAAGTATTCTTTTTAAGAAAAAAAAATACCACCTATTATCCAGAAAATAATAATGTATAAGAAGTCAGGGAAACCTGAGTGTCATTCTTAAAATTTGTCAGTTGTAAAATAGTCTATTAAGTGAATTCAGGTGGAATGTCTCCAAGTTACATTGTCAGTTTTACCTTTACGATTGTTACCAGGCAGCCATGTCCACAGAAATGCTGGTTCATGGGACACGGGCATTCTAATGAGGTTGTTAGGGAAATAAAACAGTCTCACAAACAAAAGACCCTTTCGGACCAATATGAAAGAGAAATAATATAATTTTAATATTGGGGAATTATCAGACTTTCATGCACATATAGTAGCACTATGTGAAAAAAAAAGTTACTGCAAAGTATGAACAGAATTTTATATAAATTTATACAGAAAAGTAGAAGACAGAACAACTACTACTTCTCTTATTTCCTTGAGAGACCAGAGGATGCACTTGTGATTGTCTTGTGTGTACCTGCAAGAGACCCTGAGCTAATTCTGAAGGTATTTGGAGTTTCAAGGCCAGAAGACCCACAGGCGTGCACTGTGAAATTAAAAGAGTGAGTGTTTTAATTGGGCCTACTGGATGCTCAAGGAGACACTCTGACGAGGGGAGGGTGGGTTGCAGTGGCCTCACTCCTCAGAGAAAGTGTCATCCTTATTCTCTTACAAAGTCCAGGCGAGGGTTCATCGATGGTTATATTTCTAGTGATCAGTTTGTTGTTGTGTATCACAAAACTTAAATACATTCACATCCTTTGACCCAGCATTCAAGTTCTAGAAATCAATTTTCAATAAGTATTTACAATTTTCTTATTTGTATGTAGGACATTTCATCTTAGAATTAATTAGATATAAGAGCGAGCTAGAGTTCAGGAACAATCTAATGTCTACCAGTATGTATTGGTTAAATTAAACACGACGCCTTTGTGTGATGGAATATTTTTGTTTTGGATATATTTAATGACATGGGAAAATGTTCATATATATTATTATGTTAAAAAAAAACACATGACAAAAGCTCGTATACATTTGATTCCAATATTTATACCTAGACACATAGAGGGAACAACATCAAAGGATTTTAATAGGCCTATTTCTATTGGATGTATGAGGGATAGCTATGACTCTCACATTATGCTATTTTCTATAGTTAACATTTTTATTCAGAAAAACCAAATGTCATTAAAAACCAAATGAAGTAAATGACAGTGAGCTAGCATTTAATAGTAGTTGCTGTTTAAGGATATCTAGTCATTTTTAATGAAAATTCCTTTTGCACTCTCCATTTGTGTTTTCATATCTCTCTAGCTGTTCTTCACTTCTCTGAGTACCTGGGGCTTACTTTTATAAGTGCATTTCTGCTACAATTCCTTTTGCTCTAGAAGAATCATCAGACCAGGAGCTGGAAATCTAAATAATAACTCTAACTCTGTTATAATCTGGTGATAAGTCTGTAGACACGTTTCTTAACTTCTACCCACCCCGGTTTGTCTGTCATTGTACTGAAAATTACAGAGGAGCCCAAGTCCTATAGCATTCAGTCAGATTCCCTGAGTGCAGGTGGTGGGCCAGGAGATTACAGACCTAGGAAGGAGTAGATACTGTGGGCTGACGTGGGTGTAGGAAGGAAGGGAAGTGCCATCTTTCTCGTCTCTCTCCTTTCCAGGGAAGAAGAAGCAGGGAAAGACTTTTTCATCTCTCTGTAGAATAAAATTCTGAGGTGCTCTTCTCTGTAGTGGAAGGAGTGGGTAGAGTTGTCAAAACAAATAGAAAACACTAATGAAAGATAGTACGAAGGGCTAAACTAATTTTATGGTTTAAAAATTGTTTTTCAAATTAAAATTTTTATACAGAATTCTCCAGTTGTCTGTTATATTAGACAACCAATATATTAGACGACTAATTAGAAAAACTAATTACGAGGATCTTGCAAATGCTTTTTTGATTGAGAAGTTACAAGAGAGTTTTTTAAAAGGATGCTTAAACCTATATGCAGATTATTTAAACACATTTAAAAATTTCAAATATTGACAATTCACTTATGGCAGATCTGGTGATTCTCAGGTATAGAGATTATCCCATCACCTAGAGACTCAGCTCTGCTCGTTACTTTATTGCATTGTTTTTAACATTTGAAGATTGACCACTAGATGGCACTTAAAACCCACGAGACTCAGAGGAATGCTTCAACTGGGAGGCACAAGACTCAGGACAGGAATACGACTTGAGTTCTCAAAACGGTATTATCTAC